GGGAGCCTTCAGGCTTTTCCAAGCCGGCGGCTCATGGCTCGCTCAGTTCGCTCGCGGAGTTATTTAGATCAGTAGATCTATCTCGCGGAGTATCTCACTTCGAAATCTTCAAGAAACCTCTACCTGCAGTTGAGAATCTCGCTCGTGGGAGCCTTCAGGCTTTACCTGCAGTTGAGAATCTCACTTCGAAATCTTCGAGAAACCTCTACGCTGGCAAGGGTGTGTATTTCACAGGATCTTTCTCTTTCGAGATGGGATTCATACCCGAAAGCAAATGACATAGTTGACTAGCAGACCAGCCCAGCCCTATTCACTTTCTACTGTCTGTCATGCCCGGAATCCTTTCATCCATGAAGATCTCATCATAGTTCTCCCCCGGAAAAAAAAGAGAACTGGGCAGGTGATGGCATTTCATCTCCGGCGGGTATAAGGGTCCTCTGAGAAAAGGGACATTGCTACTCTATTCGATGGATCAGGTCGAGCCAGACCGCATCCTTCTGATTAAGGAACCCATTTAGGGGGGCGTCGGCCCGGGAAGGGGAGAGTGGCCAAAAAATTCCACCATTTCTCCAGCTTGAATCTCGTTCAATCCAAAAACACGTGCAATCCCATCTCCAACTGAGATCATTCTGGCACTCACTTCCGGGATAGACTGAATCAGGTAGCAGTTACTTTCTATGAAATCCTTTCCGGATAAAGACTGAATCTATAAGTCTCTCAGTAGCGCGACCTTCAGCAATTTCTTGAGTTGATGGAGTAGCCTGACCTGAACAGTCGAACTCTCAGTCAAAGGTGCGCAGCAAAGAAAAAAAAAAGTGGAAAAAAGGGAAGGCGCTAGAGAGAATGACGAGGAACTTCACAGACATCAATAGTGAGAGGGGACAAGAGAAGAGAACACTGGAGATCCTACAGAAAGCTATATCAGAGTAAGAGTCCCCGGAAGAAGATTTTGCCCTACAGTGGTCTCACCTGGTGAACCTGTATTCAATGAAGCAAGCATCCCGCCCGGACCGCTCATGCACAACCGAAAGAAAAGAAAGAAGCGATCAAGCTAGTTCGTTCAACTTTATGGCTTGGTTGCCCTAATGGAATGTGACCCCATTCCGTGGCTTCAATCGGACCCGTCCTTCAATATGCATATCGAGAGTGGATGGTTTATCGCCGCCCCCCTTGTCCTGTCCTGGAGTGACGAAGGAAGCTTCGGACAAAAATCCATTTTTTGATTTCTTTCATCTATTCCATGACCGGAACAAAGGGGGATACGCGTTACGCCACGATTTTTTTGAATCAGAAGAGAGAAGTAGATCCTTTCACTTTCATGACAACTGACTTCAAACCGAGGGTTCGAATCCCCCTCTCTCCTTTTGCTTGCTTAAGAAATTCCTTCTTGACTCGTTTGGACTGGCTTAACGCGAGCGAACTGAGCGAGCCATTAGGCTATATGATGCCTTGGTCTTTGTGTACAAGATCTTAACGGAGTCTGGAGTGCTGCTAGTCTGGAGTGCTGCTAGTCTTTGATTTGCCGAAGTTTGAAACTTGTGGCAAATCGCGAGCCGCGAGAGGAGAACTTCTGTTATTTCCTCTGTCTCTTGTCTACGGATAATAAGTAGTTGACTCTTCTTTCTTTTGCCTCCGCATAAGCATAACCTTGAGTTGCATACCCAAAAGTCGTCTTCAGAATTAGTAAAGTTCCCTTTTTTCATTATTCTTTTTATAGCTAGTGTTAAGCTCATCTCTTGAGATTTGCCCCACATTCAGAATACCTTCATTCGGCCTTCCTAAGGAGCATAAGAGCTCACTTATATAGGACTTTTTTTCTTTTTAGAGTATTCTCACTGAATTAGCTCAACAGTATAAACGAGTCATACTGCCTATACCATAAAGAGTCCCAATGCTAGCTACTTCTATCTCGTGAGAGCCAGTTGTAATTCTCTTTGCTGTCGGTTTCCTTGCCTGGTGCTTGTCTGACTGCCTCCCTCGAAAAAGGTTGGGAGTCTCCAGGAGGAGGCCAAGCAGCTCGGTTTCGTGGAGAAATTCAAAAAGCAGATTCAATAATACAAAACTTGACATATGTAACAAAATGAGAACTCAATGGATATCACATTGTTTGTAGAAATTTTGGATTGAGCTTCGCACAAACCTCCCCCCTTTTTTTTCTCTTGCACAGGCGGGGGATCTTGATGATGCTTTCTTATTTGAGTTTGAGCTAGGTTGGAGAGGGAAACAAGAGTTCTCATTGATGTTCCTGGTCCAGCTCAGTCAATGCTATCTATGTAAATGCGGGCAGGGTCGAGCTCGGCAGAGGGACTCTTTCTTTTTCTTCATTGAAGAAATAATTGGAAAAGAAAACAGCAAGTACAAAAATGAGTAAGAAACCCCAGTATAGACTGGTACGATTCAATTCAACATTTTGTTCATTCGGGTTTGATTGTGTCATAGCTCTCTAATTCGAATTAGGTTGATCGTTGGATGAACTGCATTGCTGATCTTGACCCTAAAAAAGAAACAGTAGGTACAGCCAGTCCGTGAACAGCCAACCATCGCACTGTTGTCCCGAAAAGAGACTGGATCAGACTCAGACCACTC